CACAGGTTTTGTTTCGCCTGTACTTTACGTTAGACCAAAAGACCCAAATTAGAATATTGCGATATAGTTTGGTACCCGCAGTACGATGTGCAAAAACAGCTTATTGAACAAGTACAACGCAGATTCTTGAAGTACGTTTCTTTTAAGCTTGATGGTGCGTATCCTGAAAGAGGCTTTCCACACCAATCTCTCCTATCCCGGTATACTGTCCAGTCGATGGAATGCCGCCGAATTATGAACAGTGTTAAGTTTTTATTTGGCTTATTGCACAATCTTGTAGACTCTCCTAATCTCCTTGCACACCTAAACTTTTCTGTTCCTCAGCGCAATAGCAGGCTTACACTAACTTTCACTTACCGCACTCCGAGAACTAATATATTATGTACTTAAAGCCCCTACATTAATCATGTCTCGTAATTTTAATATGGTCTGCCAGGATTGTGATATACAATATACCTCTCTACCGGAAATACTTCGCCAACCCATTACTAAGCTCAATAATTCTCTAAGATAATTATTACTTATTATTTTTATTTTTTATTTTATTTTATTTTTTTTTCTTTCATTACTCCTATTATAGGACTCCTATTACTTATATCTCTTGTATATCTCTGTTGTTCATTTGCACGTTTAATACAATTTATATATATTTTTGGTTTATGTTGCGCAATTTAATCGAATTTAATTATCTTTCAATGCATTTTTACAAATTTTGTATGTTTATAATATTACTTTACTTAAGTATACTATCTTAGTTACATAATTTTAATTTTACTTTTGTAAATAGTGTATTGTTGCTCTATTATTGGAATGTTTTCTGTTTGAGCAATAAAGTATTATTATTACTAACGTTAAACATAACGCCCAGGTTATCTGTCAAAAACCCAATTTTGCCTATACTAAATAACGTGATACATCACAGGGCTGAATATCTGTACAAATAAGGGTTTTTTAACAGAAACTGTTCATTATAAATGTAGTATCTACCTATGATGTAATTAAATAATTTTCTTATTT